CTGGCCTGGGGCTGCGTCAACCACCGCCCCAGGTCGGCCACTGGAAAGCCCCCTACCCCACCCCCACTGCCTTTGTTCCTTTTAAAGGTTTTTGCAGCTGGTGGGATTCTGGGGGGAGGTGCGAGGGAGCTAGAGGCCTCACTCAGAGGGCGCCCCAATCTCCCTCTCTGGGCTGGGGGAAGCCCTCTCTGGAGCCTTTTTTTTTTTTTACCCCCTGCTATGGGGTGGGAAGGGGAAGGGGCTATAAATGAGGCAAGAATCAGGACTTCACGACATCCGTGCAGTTGTTTAGCACTAAGAAGGGAAAACAGAGGTGTCCTCTACCCCAGGGGCAAAGGTCCTCAGGAGACCTGACTTGGGAGCCTGGGGAAAGCCATTTCCTTGGGCAAAATCACCAGCTCTTGGCCCTGGCCTGCCTCTGTCTCCCCTCCTCAACCCTAGGGCCTTTCTACACCTAAGAGGGGCTGGAACTGGAGGCCGGCTAGGGAGGGGGAGCCGTGGCCTGGGTGGGGTCTAGGACGCAGGTCCCAGAGGACAGCTGCCTCCTTTCCTGAGATAGGGTGTCAGGGAACTAGCAAGACCCCAGCCCCTGTCTCTACCAAATTGATCAGGAGAGGGCGCCTGGGGGTCCAAGGGAGAGCCCCCTTCCTGACCGCAGTCCATTGCCTCCCTTTGCAAGCCTGAGCCGGCTCTTCTCCCCTCAACCCTCACTAACAAATTCTTCAGATCTGATTTTACTCTTTCCTGGTCATTCTTCAGTGTCCCTTCCTCCGCCAGTGAATAACTTAGCCCAACTTAAGCCTTCGAAGGACAAACTTTGGAGGGAAATGTGGCTCTTTTGAGGCTGGAATGGGAGCCCCAAGACCAGAGGTGGATGGGATTGTCCTCTAAGAAGTACCTTGGGGGTGATTTTGGTGACCCGTGAATCCTTCTTACGCCCACCAGGAGGCCCTTTTTAAGGCTCTGATTCAGAACAGCTTCCATCTCAGCTCCCCATCACCCCATGACCTGTCCCGGTGAGGAGAAAGAAGAGCGGCTGAGCTCTCTCTCACACAGAAACACTTCTCCCAAGAGACCCTGACCCCTCAACTGCCCAGCCTGAGAGGGAGACAGACAGACACACAGACTTATGTCCAGCTAGGGACATTGTCATAAAGGCATGAAGAGGGAGGAGAGACCCTTAGTGAAGAAGCAAGTTCCGTGGGTCTGAGACAACAGGTCAGGGAGGGGCACTGGTCTGAACGCCATCATGTCTGGGGCCTGTCCCCACTGGGCACCTGCTTGATGACTGTGCCTTCCTGCTGCTGTCCCTGGTGCCTAGCACCGTGCCTGTTCCATTCAATGTGCTCTGTGCATGTTGGCCAAATGAGCATCTGCCCCACCCCCTATCCAGCACCTTCTCCCGCCCTTTTCTCTGCCAACCCCTCCTCTAAGTTACTCCCTAGGCCCTTGGTGGTGTCCAGCTGTGACATCCTTTAGGCCAGGCCACCATCTATGTATGTGGGCTGAGGGTGGTCTGGGAGAAAGCAGTGGTGGGTGGGAATGGGCCTAGGCAAAACTTGGGACCATTTGATATTCATGAATTGCTCAGGTCCAAGCTCCTGAGTTTGCCAATGACCCTCTGTTGTGTTTCTTTTTAGCAGCTGACTGCTCTGAGAGGCAACACTGGCAGGGCCTGTGCTGGGGGCAGGTTGCACAACCACTGCCCTTCCCAGCGCTTTTCTCCCTCCCACAGCCCAGCCCTGGAACTTAGTAGAGATCAGATCCAGGGGCTGGAGGTTCACATTGTAGTTACCCCACGCCCAGCTTCCTGCCCCTGGGTCTCTCTCTCTGCCCTGGTTGTCTGAGCCCATTCCTACGTCCGCCCTTCCTTCCCCTTCTCCGAGGGCCCAGGAATCCTGCCAGCCCAGGGGCTCCCTGTGTGGCTGGGAAGGCTCAGAACTGAGGCTCCTGAGACAACCAGAGCCCTTGGGAAAAAGAAAATTCATGGCTGACCTCTCTGTGCTCTTGCTCAATGGAGCAGCACCCTCCCTCGGGGAGGGGGGCTCCCAAGCCAGAGACTGGGAGGGAACCCGAGTGTATCATGCTGAGGCGAAGGAAAGAGCCAGGGAGAGGGCCTGGAGCTGCAGGGAAGGCACCTAGTGGCCTCAAGCAGGAGGTCACTCTGGTCTTGGTGGCACGCACACAGCTGGTTTGCTCCAGCTCTGAGCGCAACGTAGGGGAACCTACGAGGTCCATGTGGGACGGATCTTCTCTAGGATCTGTTCTTTGCCAGGGGCTGTACCCACAGGCCCATCCCAAATACAACTCCACATCTAGAGAGGCCTGTTTGGGGCAGAAGCAGCAGAATCAAATCTCTGGGGCTCTTCTCACGTCTGGCAGTACCTTCCCCATGGAGGGGGTCAGATGCCAGGGTATGTTTGCTGCCTCTCCCCACAGAGACCCTCCTGGAGAGTGCAGGCATGAGGAACTCTAGCTGCAAGCCAAGGGAGAACCTAAATCTCTTGTCCTTGCTTGCCAGCTTCGTCCTCTTTCACCCACCCTCCCCACGTCCTCTAAGCCAACAAATACATCCTCACCTCATTCACCCTACACTCTTAGAGTAACGTGGCGTGTCCAGTTTAGTCTCTTCCAGGTTGGAATGTGTGCTGTGTGGCAGCAAGTCCTGCCTATCCAGTATCTTCCTAACGTCCTGGTTTCCAGTCACCCTGGGCAATAAGACTGAGCTGCTGCAGGGTGCCAAGTCCCAAAAGACACCCAGGCCTATGCAAAGCTCTGTGAGAATTCAGTTCCGGTGTAGACTCACAAAGTCTTGGAGTTGATGGAAGCTTCCATGTGCTCCGTCTCACTTCCTTCCCGGGGCAAGAATCCCTCCCACACTGCCTAGCAGTTATTGGACACTTACTGGGTGCCTGGCAGTGGGTCTGAGAATGGTTGTGCACCCTGTGTTTGACTGCTGCTGGCGGGGCGCCCACCGGCTCCTGCTGGAGCAGGTCCAGTTCTTGGTCAGTCTTTTCGTGGGTGGAGTCCAGTCTGTACACCTAGCCTCTTCCTGCTCTGTGCAGGGCCCTCAGAGTGTCTGCTCTCCCGTGTCTGCAGGGAACTGCGGGTCAGGGCAGGCAAAGTCTCTGGCCAGCCACCCCTCACCTCCCACTCTCCTCATCTCTTTGCCCCCTTCTAGTCTGCTTATTTCCTGGCTCGTCCCTCTACTGTCCTTGTCAGCGTGCTCCCTCTCCAGACTCGCTCTCTCAGCTTTCTACCCTCTTCTCTAGGTGCAGAAAATGCCCAGGCAGCCTCTATAAGCCTCAGTTTTCTTATCTACCAAATGGGAATAACGATTTGTGCTGCTGAATGATGACCCTTAGCCGGGCCTAGCACAAGCATGACACCTGGTTTTCACTCAGTAAAATAGTTCCTTCCCTTTCTCCCTCCCCTTTTCTCCTCTATAATTTCTCTGCTGTCACCTCCTGTCCTCAGTGTTATCTCTCCCAGTTCCATCTCCTCCCCTTCTGTTTTGTCCCCCATTTCCTTTCACTCCCTCCTGGTTGACCCCCACCTCCCACCCCACCTCCTGCCACAGGCTGGTGACAGGCCCAGGCTGTGCTGACAGCTGAGTGGCTTCTCAGCTTCTCATTAGAGGCCCGAGAATGTGTGGAGTCATGAGGGACAATGGGAGTGCCAGGAGGAAGAAAGGGGCCTCTGTTGGCAGAATCTCCCCAACCCTGGGCTGGGCTGAATGGAGTACCTGAGGGGCAGGGAGGGGTGGAAACTGGAGGTGGAGAGGCCACAGGTGGCAGACATGGGGGACTGGCAGGGCTCTCTGGAGTCAGGCCCTGGGAATTCTCAGCATCTGTTGGCATTTCTGGGGAAAGCTCAGCCCTCAAAGGTGACTGTCTCCCTGGAGTGGCCTGTCCTGGCGTCGTGCGGGAAAGCCAGAGAGACCCTCCCAGGGGCCCTGTGAGGTGTCTTTCTACCCAGGCCCCAGTCCTACCCCTGCAGCCCCTGACAGAGCTGAAGAAAGTTTGGGGGTGTCCCCAAAGGAGAAAGGATAGTAGAGATGGCCCAGCTTGAAAAGGGTGAGTCTTTGGGGGTTTGCACTAAGTTCTGGCCCCTCACAGGAAAGCAGAGAGTCAGAGAGTCAGTATTGGAGAGAGCAGAAGAGGTCTCCAGGACAGGCCTTTGCCTGGAACCTGATGGCTGTCACCCTCCCCTCCCCCAAATCCTTCTGGACTCAGAAACACCTTGCCCAGCGACTACCCTTTTGGCACTTTCTTGGGGCTCCTCAGGTGGCTGGTGGGGCAGGCAGGGCTGAACCATTCACCTAGTGGCTAGACTTGGGGTGGACTGGGCTATTGTGACCAGCGCCAGATGAGGTCAGTAGATGACCAGACCTGAACTGGACTGAGGAGCTTCTAGGCAGAAGGACAGACACATGTGGGAGCAGTCGATGCAGAGGGGGGAGGCGTGTGGGGCAGTTGAGGAGAAGTAGGGCTGCGGAGGTGGGGGGTGTCACCTCAGGTCTCCTGCCAAAAATTAAACCATGAAAGAGCTGGAGGGGAGTGGCAGGGGAAGGAAGGACAGAAAGGAGATGGGGAGGGGGAGGGGACAAAACAACCCCTCACACCAATAGCCCGGCAGGGGACGTGAGTAATACATGGCTGCTTCAGCGGGAGCGAGATCAAAAGCAAGTAGATACTAGAGGTTTGTGCTTCACCGACCAGACAGCCAGAGGCTCAATGAGACCTTTGTTACCCAGGGCCAAGTCAGGGTTGAAGGAATACCTGACTGCCGCCGCCCCCACACCCAGGGCCACCAGGCTGGGGGAGGGGCACCAGCTCTTCACTAGAGTCAAGTTGAGTTGGGCTCAGCTTGGACCTGGCTGGTGGTGGGCGGGAAGAGGGCGGAGGCCTGCCCTCCCTGAGGCGTGGAGCTTCTGGGGGTGAGGGAGAAAAAGCCAGGTTGCCTGAGAGGCAGGAAGTGGCTCTGCAGGAGATGGAGGGCCAGGGGCCCCCGGCCCAGCAGGTGAGCAGCCCCTGGGCCCCAGTGCTGGCCCAGGAGGGGACTGAGGGTATTCTACTTGAGGACCACTCTGCAGGTCCTATGGGTCCCGACCTGGATGCTGGGGGTGCATGGGAGAAGAAGGAAAAGGGAACCAGAGGCCTTAGGGGTTGGGGTTGATGACCCAAAATTCAGTTAGGAAGTTGGAGGATGTCCAGTTTGGCCCTAAGGTTGGGCAGGACTAGTGTGTGTGTGTGTGTGTGTGTGTGTGTGTGTGTGTGTGTGTGTGTGAGAGAGAGAGAGAGAGAGAGAGAGAAAGGGAAACCCTGTAAAAGGAGGTTGTTCTGGCCGGTGAGCCTGTCCCGAAGCTATACGAAGGGCTGAGATAGGGGCTGCCGCCACTCTTTGGCAGAGATTAGGCCTGATCAGGGTCTATGGCCTCTTACCAGCCTGTTAGGGGTCCCTGAAAGGTCAAGGCCAGGCTTGAGGATCTGAATCCCTTGACCTTGGGCAGCAGGAGCACCCAGAGGCCCAGTCCTCCAAGGCTGAGCTGTCTATAACTGACCCATGATGGGGGGAGGGAAAGGGGACAGTACATGTGGTTAGAACACATTTTTCCAGGGTCTTGAAACCTTGGTCCCCCTCGACTCAGCTCTTCACCCTAGTTCTGGAGATGCCTGTGCCCACGATGTATCCTGCCAGCGAGAGGCAGGACACTAAGTTCCCCCTCCCACAGGACCTCCCAGGGCTGGCTCCAGGGCCGGTTGCCCTAGGTTGGTGGGGATTTCAAGCGCAGGCCCTTTTCCTGCCTCCGTCTAGGCCTGAAGACAGAGACCCCACTCCCCACAGGCCATGCAGGACTGGGTGTAGCTGGTGGCTGCTCATGCTAGTCTAGGAAGTGGGCCAGCCCCCAGCCTCGAGGGTGCCCAAGAAACTTGTTCAGCCTTCTAAAGAAAGGGCAGGCTTTTGTCTGCTCTCCTTTACCCAGACCCTCCTTTGCCTGCTTTGCTTCCTGTGCCTGGACTAGAAAGGGTTAAGCTTTGTAAAGAGAGAGCCTAATATGGGGGGCCTGCAGTAGCAAAGAAAGATCCGGCCTTATTCTCCTGGGGAGGGGGTAGTTAAGGACCCCGGGCAGGGGGCTGGAGGCTAATTAAGGCAATTGGAGGAGGTCCTTTATGGCCAGGAAGCCACCTCTCCTATACCCCGGAGTGAGGCCCATTGTGCGGGGCCTTTGTGGAGCAGAACTGGAAACTCATTACTGGGATGGCTTTAATGCTTTGGGGCCTGGGAAGGTGGTGGGGTATGGTGAGAGAAAGTAACCTGGGGGGCCTCAAACCTTGAGGGAGGCAGTGTGGGTGGCTGGGGCTGGTGGGAAGGGAGTAAGGTCTACTTAGGTACCCCCACCTCCCTGCTTCCTTTTGAGATTCCCGCCGCTGGACCCCCTCAGCTCTGCTGTGGCCTATGGCTTTTCATTCCTATGTGATTGCTGTTCCAAATTCATGTAGGGCTAAAAGCCATGGGCTACAGTGAGGGGCGTGCTCCTGCTCCTGCAGCTCTTGCAACCCTCCCCCCAACACACACAGGACCAGGCTGGGGGTTACAACAGAAGGGGACTCTGCTTGAGGGTGGGGCATGCAGGGGATCTGGTAGCCAGTGACTGGGGCTAGGCCATGTAGCCCTGGCAGAGTCTCTTTCCCTGTCTGAACCTGTCCCTCTGAAATAAGGCTGGACTGGTGACCTTGGAGGGGGCTACCCCCTGGGGCTGGAAGGAAACATTTAAGGTAGGATAAGGGCTCTGAATGAGTCCCTTTCCCCTTGTTATTGGGGCCCAGCATGCACCAGTTTTCAGACATGCTGGGCCAGTAGCACTTTAGCCTTTGCTCCATGCTCTAGGCCAGCCACTGAGGAGAGAAGCCTCAGCAGCATAAGAGCAGGAAGGCTGTGAGTTGGAACCCAGGGCTCCTAGTGCTACAGGGTGGTCCCCAGGAAAGGGGGAGGTTCCCTGCCCCACCCAAGGGAGGGTGGAGCTGAGCAGGAAGAGAAGAAGCTGCAGGAAGAGACGGAGGAAGGAAGCAGGATGGAGCCAGGAGACCTGGAGGAGGCGATCCTTCCCATTAAAGTGTCATATGTTTTGTGTTGATGCGGCGGATGGCAGAACCCATTTAGAATAGGCAGGTTTGCGGGGTTTGGGCTGCCCCTCTCCCTGTCCTATAACACTAGCTCCTGGTTTGCTGCCCTATCCAGGCACGCCCTCCTGAGTCTGTGATGATACCTGCTGTCCCTGTTCTTTCTGCCTATCACTCATCTGGCTTGGATCCTCAGGCCTATTTCTACCCAGCCTCCCATTTAAATCTGCCAAACTTCATCCTAGCCATCCCGGAGGACTCCAACAGATGGAAATCAAGCAGCAGTATGGCTGGAGCAGCCGAGGAAGCACTCCCACCTCCTTCCCTTTTCAGCCTCCTGTCTGTCTGGGATAGACCACTGAAGAATCAGAGGACTGTATTTGGTATGGAGAGTCAGAAGGCAAGTTCCCTATAGTGCCTTAGAGTCCTGCATTTACCCAGTGCCTGCTGTGTATCAGGGTCGATTTTACCCATCTGACTCGCATGAAAGAGATACTGTTGGTACCCCATTTTACTTATGGGTAATCTAAGGCACAAGGGAGCTGGGAAACAGGTCCATGTTCATATGGCTAGTAGGGGGCAGCACCGGCCATGGACCTGTGGTCTCCTGCAGCCTGCCGGTGCTAGCGGAGCCTGCCAGCAGTGTTGGGAAAGAGATCTGAAAACCGCCAAGTGCTTCTCCCAAGATGCGTGTCCACAGGTGGCCCTGTGGCTCAATTCCAATCATTCTTTGTCCATCACTCCTTTTCCTAGTTTTCCTTCTCCAGCTGGAGCAGAAGGGAGGGAATGAAAACAATAGTAGAAGCAAAGAGAAAGCCCAAGTCAGTTGGGTTTTGCCTGAGGCTAATGCAGGCCACTTCTCTCCCCCCAGTTTAGATGGTGGAAAAAACAGGGATGAGAATTTGCCAGGGTTTCTCACCCCCTCTGGCTTCTCTGCCAGAGATCAGGGGTGACATAGCACCTTCCACACCTCCCTTGTCCTGCTGCCCCAGACTCAGGATGAGCTTCTCCATCCTCTGCTCTGCTCTGTGGGCATCCAGGTACCTGAGTTACTCCTCTCAGCTCCCAATCTCCTAGTTGCACAGTCAGGTTGGAGCAGTGTCCCCTTCTTGCCCCCCAAACTGGGTCTTTCTCAGGAATCCTGCTGCATAGTTTTGGGGGAAGTCCCCAGTGCTAGGCTGGGTCTGGGAGGACTGGAACAGAGGAACCCCTCCAGAGAGTGGGCCAGGGAAGCACCAGCAGGGTAAGGCACTCCGTCGGGGTTGCTGATTGAATTGTGAACGGGGAGAAAAAGGGGGTGGACTGAAAGCTGGACTAGCTAAAGGTAGGGGCACAGCAAACCCCCCAACTCAGCAGCTGGCCTTAGACAATCTCCTCTTTGCTGGGACTGGCCTGGGGTGCTTCTGGGGTTACAAAGATATAGCTCCTTTCTATTCTTTGTCTTTTGGCCGCTGCCAGCGGGGCAGGCATGGTGAAGATAGGCAATTATATATTTCACATAATTGTTGAGCAGAACTGAATAGGCAAGCTGGCCTCATGCCCTCTCTCCCCAGAGGACGCGCACATTAGAGTGCTTGCTGTGCTGCCCTGCGCCCTACTGCAGACAGCTGAGGCCTCAGTATTCAGAGCAACCTAAGCCCTTTCCACTGTGCACAGAGCTACGCAGCCAGGCCTCCCTTGGGAGAGTGGGCGCCTGTTTAACAAGGCTGAGATTCAGGGGAATCTTTTGGTTGTTTTTGTCCCATATTTTGGAAATACAATTTGCTCCTTTCTAAATGCAAAGTCTATCAAACATAATCTCTGTCCCCTCTCTAGAAGGGGACAACATTAACATTTGGTCTGGTGGCCCTTTGGGTACTGAAGTCTGGACTGTCCGGGTACAATTGAATAAAGCGATTATACCCGGCATGGACCACCAGGTTTCCAGCCGCTCCGCACGCCGAGCACGCCACCCTGGTCATGCTTGTGACGGCTAAGCGGGGTAGCCTCTGCCTGGCAGGCCTGGAAGACCCTGGAGGCCAGGGCAGAAGGACATTTCAAGACTGCAGGTTCTGGCCCCTCTCACTCCCATAATGCCCTCAGAATTTCTGCTTGAATGCCCTTGTAGTCTTGAAAAGTGGGGGGAGCTTCCCCTCTTTCTTCATAAGGGAAACAAGCAAGAAACAGCAACTGGGGTGCGGGTATGGGGTGGCATCTGGCCCAGGCAGGCTAGGACCTCTGAGGCCCTCAAACGCAGAGAAGACTTTGGCTGCAGATTCCAGTAAGTAGAGGCCAGGCCTCAGTTTCAAGCAGGCCAGGAAGGAGTTAATCTCCAAGGAGAACCTCGGCCTTCTCCCAGACTGGAGGCCTGTGCCCAGCTTTGCTGCTGCCAACTCTGGGAAGAAGTCCTGGGATCTGTAGTTTGTGCCACCACCCACCCCTGGCCGGCCTGTTTATCAACACCATCTTGCAGACTACAGTTCCCAGAAACCTAGAGAGGCCAGGCTTTGGGGGAAGGGGTGGGGTGTGAGGCTCAGTGGCAGCAGGAGCGAGAGGGAGAGGGAGGAGGTGGGGAGAGAAAACCCAATTCAACCCCTTCCTTTTTAATTCTTTCTCCTGGTGTGTCTGCTCCACCGCCCGAGCTAATCCCCCAAATCCGGTCTCCTAAGCCGCAGCTGCTTCCCTGCGCAGTGATGAATGGCCCGGGGAGGGAAGGTGAATTCATATTTTAATTACTGAGGCGCGGTGCTGAGGGCTGCTGGGGAGGGGGCGGAGGGTTCAGCTTTGTTCCCGACGCAGGGGGCTCCCCTCCTCTCCGGGTCACTTTTGCCTTTTACCTGGAGGTGGGGGTGGGGCAAAGTAAAGATGGGGGTGCCTTGATGGAAGCTGCTCCTGTTTTAGAGGTGTGGAGATGGGATGGGAGGAAAAGTATCCCTTCCTTGTTGGTCAGGGGATTCCTGGCAGGTCCCAACACTTATAAAAACCTTCCAAACTGCACCCTCCCCACCCCCCCACCCCATGCGCTGCCCACTTTAGTGGAGGATAGCGCTCAAACTGGGACCTGGTGCTTGGACTCTGGAATCCCCTGGCTCTTGCTTCACCTTAGTTTCGAGCCTGCCTTCTTCCGCGTGGTCCTTTCACGTATCTCAGACCCACCTCCCCATTTGTTGGCGGACCCTAGGAGGGTGTCTGCGTGGAGGGGAGAAGTGGGGTGAGGGCCCAGTGAAGGGAGGCTGGGGAGTCTCCTGGTGGTTCAGGATGATAACTCTGTGGGTTGGCAGCTCTTCTGCTGGTTCCCACGAAGCTGGCTGGGCAGGGAATCAGCTTTGCCCCCATGCCCCAGGCCTCTTGGACCTGAGCTAGGGAATGTCCGGAGAGGAGGCTGGGGAATAAACTAGGGCCAACAGCTTGCGGTCAGAGACAGCCAACTCTGGGGTGGCAGGGATTTGTCCCATGTCCACCTCCCTGTCCTTCCTGTTCTGAGTCTCTGGGGTCTGTTTTTCCATTCCTTGACCCCTCCTGTTCTTCAGGCATGAAAATTGAAGTTGGAGGGGGAGCTGCAGGGTGGGACTGCACAGATGGGTGGGGCGTGCACGCAGGTGCTGGTTCACTTGCGTCATCAAGACTCCTGGACTCTGTCCATTCCAGCATTCAGCTCCCTTCCGTTCAAGTGGGCATAGCTAGAGGAGCGTCGTCGGGACCTGACTTCTCCAGGGAGCCCCCCAGCTGGTGCTGGAGCACTGACAAGTGTGAAGGGGTAAAGGTAGGGAAGAGAGTCCACAGACTCCTGCTGGGGCAGCGTAAAGAGGAACAGAGACCACCCTGGGAAAGGGCACCCCAAATGGGCAGAGGGAGGAAGAGAGGGGTTATAGCAGGGCCACTGACCTGGAAGGGGTGCTTTCCCAGGCCCGTGCCCAGCTCATCTCCAGGCCCCTGAGGTGGCCCTGTGCAGTAAAGAGTAGACATACTTGGGGGCGCCCCTAGCAGACCTTGCATCAAAGATGGGCCAGGCCTTCTCTGCCCTTAGAAATAGGTCCCAGGAACCCCGTGAGGCAGTCAGCTTTCATGTGGGCCCCTAGTCCAACTCTTGAGGGGCTTACGTCATCTGTCCTCTGAAGTGTATCCATCTCTTCAGTCCTCCCATCCTATCCCGGAGTTCCCTACAGTGAGCAAAAAGTCGACATGCTTTCATCTCTCCCAAAGGACCCTGGGGAGGAACCATCACACCAGTGGGTACATTTTGCTGTTTTAAAGAAAGAGCAGGCATGGGCCTCCCCTGGTGGCGCAGCGGTTGAGCGCTGGGCTGCGAGGCTGCCCGCAGCCTCTGTAGCGCTGGTTTGTTCCCGGGCCGCCGGCAAGGGTCCCACAATAAATAAATAAAGAAAAATAAAGAAAGAGCAGGCATTGGAGGGGAGGTAGGATGGAGGGGGGGTCTATACTCCCTGGGGACCAGACACCCTAAGTTGTACCTAGACCTGGGGTGGGGTGGGGGAGTCAAAACTACTTGCCTGACTTGTTTTAGCTATGAGTTCCTTCCCCACATCTGCTTTATGGTACCCCCTGACTTCTCCCCAGATGTGCTCCCTGTAATCATGGGAATGCCTTGATGGTGGTGCCCTTCACCTATACCCCTGGTAAAGAAAATGTATCTGGAAAGCAATTGCTGATTGCTGGAAAGGATACCTGCTCACTTTTTCCTGATCATGTGAGGATTCCCAATCCCCATCCAATCCCCATCTAAGTTTTGGGTCCCAAGTATTAGACCTTTGTTAATCCCCCGGGACACTGAAGTGAAGGCTTTGGCAGGGATGGCCACTTGCTTAGGGCGACACAGCCTGCTGGCGTCAGAGCCAGGAATAGGGCCCAGGTCACCTAAGCCCCAGTTTAGAGCCCCGACTCTCTAGGTTTATCATGGGAGGGATCCAGAGATAGCTGCAACAGAGAGATCTAGAAATATAGTAGTTGTGTCTCGGCTCTGTCTATATATATCCTGGAGATTGCTCTCTGTTCTCTATATATACTTCAGGAGAGTGGGTGTGCTGGAAGGCGGGTGATTAAATAACCAGTCTACCTACCCATGCTGACTCAGGCTGGGCGGCTTGCCCATCCAGCTGGCCATGGGGAATGCAGGGCACCTATTAATTACAGTCACTCGCTGTGCTAGCAGGACACTGGGAGGGTGAGGGAAGGAGGAGCCTGACAAGACCCGGTTCTACTGTGGGCCCTAATCTTGGGAAGGGCCTGCGGCTTGCCCCCTGCTCCGTCTGGAGGACCAGGAAGGGAGTTTGTCCAAAGGAGCAGGGTAGACCAGACCTGTAGGTCTGTCTGGAGAGCCCCCACCTGGGTCATGTCAGGTTCCTCACAGGCAGGGGAAGCACTGGGCCAGGGTCTGGGACTTACGATGTAATTTCTGTTGCCAAGAGGGGGCTGGGGAGGGCTGTGCCTCCTGCTGCCTTATTCCAAACCCTCCTACATAGCCTTCCCTCCTTCCCATAGCGTTTGCGCTGCTCCCAGGATTCTTCCTGAGGAGAGAAGTATTCAAACCTGGCCCAGGATGCAGGCCTGGCCCCCACACTGGGTGCTTCCTTTGTGCCCAGCTGCTCCACTTGAGCTGGTTTGGAGGCACTTCTGTCCCTTCCAGGGTAGGCCTGGGGACAAAGGAAGGGCAGGAAAGAGCAGGAGGAATCTGTAGATGGCAGAGGCTGGGAGACCCCAATAAGTATCTGGGGAAAGAGATCCTCACAGTCTGAGAGCTGATCTCATAGCCCCTCCCGTTCCCAGCTGGACTGCCCAGGTACCAGAGGAGCCCTACTTCCTGTGCTGAGGGCTCTGTCCACCAGAGGTGGGGGACACAGGCCCAGCAGGGATAAATCCATCTCAGACTTGTGCCAGGGAAGAACCAAATCTTCACCTCTGTGTACCTACCCCAGTCCCCTTTGCCAGCTTAGGTGCTCAATAAAATAGTCTATTGGTTGAAAGAACTCTTTGCTGTCTGTTTGCCTGAGGACTGGTATTTATGTTCTAAAGTGACCAAAGAAAAGTGCATTCTCTTCGCCAAGGGCACCGGGCAGAAGGGGAGTGCTAGGAAGGGGAGAGAGCGCTGCTGAGTTCCAGGTAGAGGCTGTGATCCCCAAAGGACTGTCTTCAAGGGTCACAAGGTCCTGCCTTTCGCTCATCAGACTAAGTGAACTAAAGGATTGAGCAGAAAACCTGGAGCTGTGGCAGGTGGCACAAGCCAGAGCTTATTTGTGCTTTTTACTCCCCATTTCCCAGCCACAGGTGTGTGGTCTGCCGAGAGGCAGAGGGCCTGGGAGGGAGCGAAGGCGGCAGGTGGGCCTTGCTCTGCCCTACTCAGGGCTCACCAGGGCCCAGTTGGAGGAGTGACTTCAGCTCCCCAGAGATCAGGAAACATGGAGGTTTCAGAGACTTTTTGCTGGTCTGGGCCCTCCCTGGTGGTGGGAGAGGCCTAGCAGAGTCTGGACAGCTTCTGGGAGCGACGGTGACTCCTGCCAGATCTGAGGGCTCCAGACGAACCCTAACCCAGCTTGCTTCTCTCTCCTGCCCCCTCTGCCTCCCCGCCTTTCCCTGCAGATCTCTGGTGAGCAGCCCCCAGCCTGGCCTAGGGCATGCCCCAGTTCACTTTCGCCTGCTTCTGTGGCCTCCACGGCTTCTGCAAGATGAAGAGGAAAAAGGAGGAAGTTCACAGAGAACGGGAAACAGCAGTGTGAGCAGATCCAGGGTCCTCCTCCAGCCCCTAGCAGGCTCCAGGCCCATGGGGACCCTCTTCTGGCTCAACTTTGGTGCAGGGTCTCAAGTCAGCTCTCAGCTCAGCCTGACTCCTTCTGACTGAGGGCACCAGCCTCCTATGTGCCTCAGGCTCCTAGCTGGCCCCAGAGCTTCCAATCCTGAGACCTCCCAGGAGAGAGGCCCCAGCCACACCTGGGGAGCACAGGACCTGCTCTTTGCCTTCCAGAAACTGAGAAGCCCCAGGGAGGCCCCGGGAATGAAGCTTCTCTCCTGTCCTGAGGGATGTCCTGCATTGGGCCAGGAGAGCTGTTGCTAAATAGGAGGCTGTTGCCCGACCAGAGGATTTCCCAGCCCTGCCAAGGGCTCTGGCAGGCCAGGCAGACGCAAGTGTACAGGATGGCATCTCCTTGGGACCCCAGGACCTGAGGCAGGAGCCTCCATAGTGTCCTGCTGTAAAGCCAGGCCTGAGGGGGCAGCCTGGCTGTGAATAAGCTGGTTGAGTCAGGACACAGAGGAGGCAGACAGGCTAGCCGCTGTTCCTAGCAAGAGGCGGACTCATGTCTCCTAACCTGCTCCCCGATACCAGACAGCAGCCCGCCTGATGGCTCCCAGCTGCTCTCGCCTATTCAGTCCACCATGCCAGCAGCACAGACATGGGGAGGCCAGTTCCCCAGACTCCAGCTCCCCTCCTCAGGGACTGTCTTCCAGAACCACTGAGGGACATTTTCCTGGCTTAGGCCTTGCCTTCCCTCTGTTCTCCTGTCTCCTTGCCTCATACACCTGCCTCTTCCTTCTCAGAAACCATAGAGGGAAAAGTGCTTGCATGTGGTGCCTTTAGGGGAAACTCTGGGGGGTTCCCTCTAGGACTTTCCTAGACTTTCCCCCCAATCTCCTGAACCCCATCAGCCAGGGTCCCCCCAGCCTACTTCCAGGAGGTAGGAAGCAAATATAAAATCATTTCCTTTGCCCCTCCCTTGCTCCTCCCCCTGCCCCCATTTAATACAGCTGGGCCTGTGTCTTGGTGCCTGGGCCTCTCAGTGCTGGGAAGGTCACACAGACGTGACACCAGCAGAGACTCACGGCCAAGTCTGCCCTGGACTTCAGCACAGGAGCCAGGTCCAGTCCCCTCCAGCATTCAGGGACAGAACAAGCTTTCCAGCAGATAACAGGCAACCTGGGTAGAGGTCAGGGTCCAAGGACCCGAGAAGGGGCTGCCCACTCTGTTCCTTGGAGGCCGCCTCTGTAGAGTGAGAGCCACAGGGCACATCCCCATGGGCCAGCTCCACTGCCCATGCTCAGGGGCATGTTCTGGGTCTTTGACAGAGTTAGTGAGATCCAGGCCAACTTTGAGAGGCACAGTTTAAGACTCCTCTGCTACCATCCTCCCCCCATCTTTTGCCCCAGCCTTCTCCAATCTGTTACTTCCTTTTATATCCAAAGAATTATAAACAGAAGTCCTTCCCTGAAGGAAACAGCAATAAAGGCCAGTGGGGTCATAAGGGACAGAAGAAGGACTCCCTGGTTCTTAAGCCTCTTGGGCAGCAGAGGCCCAGGCTGAGGCAGAGATTGGCAGAAAGCTTTCAAGGGTACCTTGGTGCAGAGCTGGAGCGCCCGCCCAGGGCACCTGCATCCCCAGCGACTGCCTTTGAGGCTACAGCCCCAGAGAAGTCACTCCTGTGGTAGAGGATGAAATTGTATCCCTGGAGACTCAGAGGTATTGGGTGTTATGTCCTGACCACACGGGCCCACCCAGAGGAAGGTCAGGAGAATGGAGATAAGAATGCTCCACCCCCGCCCAGCGGGCTGCTTAGCCAGGAATGCTCCACCCCCACCCAGCTGGACGCTTATGGTGTTCTGCTGCAGGGGGTTGGCCTGAGCCCTTCAGAAGCCACTCTCCCTCTTTGAGGACTCCCTTGGCTCCAGAGGGACACTGGACATCTTGAGTCCCTGCTGTGGGAACTGGGGAGAGGTCTAGGATAAGGCATCCCTGAGTGGAGGCCCAGCAGATGCTACCCTGGCCTCCACACTGGTGGCCCTGTCCCTCCAGGCGGGGGTTGGGTCCACACTGCAGCTGGGCAGTCTGAAGAGGGGGTGGCAGTAGCAGCTTCGAGCCAGACTTCCCTCATCCTGTTGTCCCTGAGGTTCCTTCTCAGTGAAATGGAGATTTTGCTCCTCTCAGCACCTGGGGAGTAACCATAGACCCTTTGCCATCTCTATGCCAGGGGCATTGAGTCCAGGGAAGGGATTTCACTCCACAAGGCAGAAGTGACAGTCCATCTCCGCCCCCCCCCCCTCCGTGTCCTAGACCTCAGGCTTCCAGCTGGGCTCCTCAGGGAGGACCCGGTCACTTGCTGGTATGCTTTCTGAGTCTCGTCCCCCGATTCAAATACCCTCCACTCCGTGGTTTTCTCCCAGACCCCATCTTCAGGAGGGGACCCAGAGCTCCTGGGATGAGATGGGGCTCAGAGGTCGGTGACTCTGAGGAGGGGCTGGGCCTCCTACTGCGAGGCACTGAGTGCTGCTTGTAGCAGCCTAGGAGGCCTCAGTAAGTAGTTCTATCCACAAACGAGAACCCCTGTGCCCACTGCCCTCATGCTGTGGGCCATTGTGTGGGGAACATAAAAAATGTGAAGGGTGACCAAGGTTCTTGTGACTTGGGTATTGTCTGGGACCCTGGCCCGAAGGAGTCTGGGGACTTGTCTCACGTTAAAGACTTATTAGAATGTAATTTCCTTCTCTACTTCCTGGGAAGGGCTTTTTTGTCTGTCTGTTTGTTTGTTTTAAAGATTTATTTATTAGTGCATAGAAGAGCTGGGGTGTAGGCTAGAGGTGCAGGGGGGTGAGAGGATTCACCAGAGACAGAGTGGGGAGCAGAACAGGCAGACCTACTGAAATACACTGCTGAGGGGAGCAGTGGGCGAGGCAGGAGAGGTCTGCTGTGCCATGTGGGTAGCTCCCTGGTGGGCCGGGGATGGAACTCATGCTGCAGAGGTTGGTGATAGCTTCATAGTGCTGAGACTTAACCCCTTGCGCCACCAGGGAGGCCACGAAGGGCTTTTTGAATGTAGCATATGGGTCAATAGAAATCTGTCAGTAAATTGTTATTTTTTAGAAAAAAAAAAAAAAAAGCAATAATTTAACTAGCTGAAATATGCGTTAGGTAGCCAGTGGGATGCAAAAGCATCGATCTAGGAGCCAGCTCCCCCGGATCCTAGCCCTGCTTATATGCTGATGACCATGTGGCCTTAGGCTGATCATGTCCTATATTGGCGACTTTCCTCAACTCTAAAGAGGGGATTGGCTAATGTCTTCAAAGTCCCCTCCAGAGTCCAGGCTCTGTGGGTCTGTGAATTTGAGCCTCAGCAGGACTCAGGGCATGGAACCAGAGGGGTTGCAGGTTTCCTGAGCTTAGCTGGTGTCTGCGCATGCGGAGCAAATGTGGGGAGGTGGAGAGGAGTGATCCAGCAGACCTAAGTCCTGATGGGGTAGTAAGGGAAAGCCCAGGCACCCAGAGGTTCTGCTAGGACCTCCCCACCCCCAGCACTCCCTACCCAGGGAGCCCGGACTCCCTCCAGTGCGGACTCCTCCCTCTTCCCATAGCCAGACCCAAGACAAAAGTCTCTTAGCCCCGACTCCAGCTCCATACCACCTAGGCCATGACAGGACATGACAGCCGCTTCTGTACACACTCTCTTGCACACACATTTACACACACACAACCCCTTACAGATGGAATCTCCCTGCTTCAGTTACATCACCCAGGGGTTTGCCTTCTTGAAGTTTCTGGTGAGCCCAACTCTGGGCAGATGGACACACCCCACCTTATTACCTTGCCTTCCGCAAGGGGAAGTGCCTCAGGCTGCCATGTGCCCTGCCTGCCTGCATTCTAAATGTGCGTTGCCCGGTGGTTTGCACCAGCGGTGGGCACAACGACTGCCTGGATGGAGAACCAGTGTCCCAGTGGCTGACGCCCCACCTCGGCGACTTGCCTCCTCTCTCCCAGCCTCCCGTGAAAGGTGGTGATAAGCCCCTTCCCTCCCTACCTGACGGGAAGGCTCGAGTTGTGGCAGCGTCTTGTGTCAGATATGACTTGAACTTTCGGAGACGGACACTTGGTTCACAGTCACCAAGATGGACCCACAGCAGAGAAGGAAATCTCTGCGCTGCTTGTGGACACCTGGCAAGCTGGCCTGGAGAGCCTAGTGTCTGCCCTGAAGGGACTGCTGTGCCCGGCAGCTGATGGGGGCTGACGGCACTACAAGAAGTAGGAACCAGAATCTTCTCCCAAAGAATGAATGTCCGGTCCGCTGACACAGCAAGAAGAAGAGGGAGCTCGCCGCAGCCCCCGATGCTGTGCTGCCTCACCGTCTAGGAATAGGGCGTCTGCTTTGTTCCCAAGGCCCACCCCAGGCCAGTCCCCTTGTCCCCCTGGGCTCCCTTCTCTAAATTCCTGTGGGATCAGAAGAGGAGCCAGAAAGTTCGGCTGTTCACAGGGGAGCCTGGGAGGGCAGGACCATTCCCGGAGAGTGAGGGTGAAGTGCCGGGCTACTCTGCATCCCCAGAGAACTCATTACACCGAGGGAGACATCCCAAAAGCCAGGAGCGGCCTCCCCCAAACTGGGCAGCCCAGACTCCAAGCAACTTCAGGCTGCTGGTCTGTCCCCTTCCCTTTTTGGTTGGCCGTTCCGCCTCCCTCAGCTCATTCCTGTGTTCTATCTGGGGGGAGGCTAAGTCTGGAGGGGGAGATGGCAGGACCCAGATGAGATCCTCGGGACTCTCCCAGCCTCTGTTGCCATGACAACACTGCTATTTTTATTCCGTTGTTCTTGATGCTCAAAGCTCTGACTCTGTGTTCCAGGGACGCCAGACCGACTTCTGCCCTCGTCCTTCAGGGCAGCGCCTTCTCCCAGAGGCCTGAGGAGGAAGCAGAGTGATGGAGGATAGGGGGCCCTCTGGGTCACCCTCAGCCCAGGGTCTGTTGGGCAACGGTTTGCCTCTGCACTTTTGAGTCTTTGGTTTTCTAGTTGGTTTAGGTGCTGCAATGAAGAAATGAGGGTCCGGGGTTCCGTACTTTCAAAGAGAACAACACTCCCCATGGTCTCCCTGAGAGGCTGCTCCAGAGGAAAAAGGAGGTTGCTGCTCCAGATGGGTTTTCCCGCCCAGCTATGCCGGGGCTGCTGCCTTCTTGGGGGAAACCCAGACCCCACTCCGGAGAAGGTCCTGAGGGCACAAGCCAACCTCTGGCCTCTTGAAAGGTCTTGGAGAGCTAAGTTTGGTTAATTAGCAATCAGATGCATTAACATCTGGGGAATCTAAGCCGGTACCTATTTCCTTTCCTCTGCCCCTCTGCCCAGTCTTTATGCCAAAGGTAAGATAGCACAGGTGCACTTCTCCAGGGGAGACCTCCCTCTCCCCACATAGCCGTGACTCTGCCCAGGGCTCGAGGTTTTGGATTTTAATGATGTTCTTGAAGGCAGAGTTTAATGAAAGGATTTCTATTTATTTATTTTGCATAGAAGTGGAGTGTAGGCCACAGGTGGCGGGGGAGGGTGAGAGGATTCACCAGACACAGTCAGGAGCAGAAAGAACACACAGATCTACTGAAAGACACTGCTGAGGGGAGCAGAGGGCAAGACAGGAGAGGTCTGCTGTGCCATATGTGGGTCAGCTTCCTGGCTGGGGATTGAACTCATCCCACAGCAGTGATAACGCTGAGCCTTAACCTCTAGGCCACCAGGGAGGCCCTAATGAAAGGATTACTTAAGCGCTCTTCTTCCTCTACCCTTCTCCCTGGCCAAGCTTTTGGACCCGTGCCTGTGTCCGCATTTCTACCCCAGTTGCAA